AAGTTTAATAATTTAGAATTTCCAAAATGTCAGTAATAGAAAATTTACTGAACTTGAAAAGGATAGCAGTTTCGCAACTTTTCGTATTTATTTTCACGTCCCATTTGGGCACCCATAAATTAAATGAAGCTTTGTATGCAATTACAGTTAGAAAGTCGTTGCAATGCAAATAAGGGTCAGAATAGCAAGTTGAATTATCGAGAGCTCTAACAGATAGTCGAAGACGGCTACCGTGTGTTCCGTGCCGATTCGTGTGGCTGCGGTTTTCTTGCGATAAACCGGCAAAAAGGAATCGTTGATGGACACGTTACATGCGAAATGCAACGCGTTGAAACCACACTTTCTTGATGGCTTTTAACATAGCCAGGCCTGTGATGACTATTTTCAAGCGAGACATTGTATCCTGTATTCTAAACGCATTATACACTTAACATCTAATCAACGTTGGGTCTCCGTTGCTTTTTCGCAATGGTATTTCTGTTTTTATGCGCGGCTGTTGCTTAGACGCGGACAATTTTTTAAAGTAATTGGCGGTGGTTTGGTGGAAAGTTAAAATAGCGATGTAGGAGTATAGTTGTATAGTGAAATAGTAAGATAATGGTTGTATAGTTGTATGGTGCAATTAATTCAATATTGATATTGTAGTATAGTTGCTTCATGAAGGAGTTACTTTAGTAGAAAGTCACAATAGGGATGTAGAAGTATAGTTATATAGTGAAACAGTAGTATAGTGAAATAGTAACATAATAGTTATGTAGTTGTATGGTGCAATTAATTCAATATTGATATTGTAGTATAGTTGCTTCATGAAGGAATTACTTTAGTAGAAAGTTACAATAGGGATGTAGAAGTATAATTATATAGTGGAACGGTGGTATAGTGAAATAGTAAAGTAATGGTTGTGTAGTTGTATAGTGCAATTAATTCAATATTGATATTGTAGTATAGTTGCTTCATGAAGGAGTTACTTTAGTAGAAAGTTAAAATAGGGATGTAGAAGTATAGTTATATAGTGAAATAGTAACATAATAGTTGTGTAGTTGTATGGTGCAATTAATTCAATATTGATATTGTAGTATAGTTGCTTCGTGAAGGAATTGCTTTAGTAGAAAGTTACAATAGGAATGTAGAAGTATAGTTATATAGTGAAACGGTGGTATAGTGAAATAGTAAAGTAATGATTGTATAGTTGTATAGTGCAATCAATTCAATATTGATATTGTAGTGTAGTTGCTTCATGATGGAGTTACTTTAATAGAAATTTAAAATAGGAACGTAGAATTATAATTGTATAGTAAAATATCAATATAGTGAAATACGAAAATAGTGGTTGTGTAGTTTTATAGTGCAATTAATTCAATATTGATATTCTATTATAGTTGCTTAATGCTGAGTTGCTTAGTGCTGTTAATACGATATTGATATTGCAGTATAGTTGCTTCATGAAAGAGCAAAATAGTTGAACAGTGAAATAGTAGTATAACTATATAGTGGAACGATGAAATAGTATAGTTATATATGGTGTAACAATGAAATAGTAGAATAGTTATGTGGTGAATCAATGAAACAATATAGTTATTAATGGAACAATAAAATATTATAGTAGTGATATAGTAACATAATTGTATTAGAGGTATAGTAGTTATAGGAGTAGAGTAAGAGTACAGTATTAATGCAGTAGTATAGTGGCATAATAGTATAATAGAGTAATGATATAGTAGTCTAGTTGTTCAGGTAGAATTAATGAAATAATACAATATGAGAATAGTAATAGCTTAGTATAGTTGTATAGTGGAACAAACGAATATTAGAATAGTGGTATTGTAGTATAGTTATATAGTAAAATTCGTGGAATACTAATATTAGGAAGAGTGGAATAGTAAAATAGTAGAATAGTGGTATGGTTGTATAGTGGAATAATGAAATAGTTGAATAGTGCTATTGTAATATAGTTATATAGTAAGATTCGTGGAATACTAATACTAGGAAGAGTGGAATAGTAAAATAGTAGAATTGTGGTATGGTTGTATAGTGGAATAATGAAATAGTTGAATAGTGCTATTGTAATATAGTTATATAGTAAAATTTGTGGAATACTAATATTAGGAAGAGTGGAATAGTAAAATAGTAGAATAGTGGTATGGTTGTATAGTGAAATAATGAAATAGTTGAATAGTGCTATTGTAGCATAGTTATATAGTAAAATTCGTGGAATACCAATATTAGGAAGAGTGGAATAGTAAAATAGTAGAATAGTGGTATGGTCGTATAGTGGAATAATAAAATAGTAGAATAGTAGTACAGTACAGTGGAATCTTAAGAAAAAAATGCTTCTATTTTTCACTACATTTCTTCATTTTACGCTTTCTGTATCCGCTTTTACCATAATCGGAGGCCGAATTGATGAATGAAAGAAAGTAGACACCTCTCGCATTGCTAAGCAGTCGTGATCCCCAGTTAAATACTCGGAATGCAATCAAAGAAGATCTTTATCGTAATGCATTAATTAGCGTGCAAGTTGCATCTGAATTTCACTGCGGCTGATTCATTGTGACATTCAATCTATTTAAATTGAGTCTCGCGTGCAACCTGTTCTAAGTACTAGGAACATCTAGTGAATACTTTTACACGCGCGACGGTTCAATCCTGTAAATGGTCATTTTTATTTATTTATTGTCTTTGTTTATTTTTTGTATGGACTCAAATAAATAAGTGTGGTTAAGTTCAAGAAAATGGGGTACCCTCCGATTTAACTGATTTATATATCAAAAGAAAGCCCTTGACTTGGCGATTTCAACGGTGGTCATCCAACCCCTTAACTCCCACCCCTCTGCCCCCTAGAAGCCAAAAACTGAAACGTTCCAAAAAGTGATTTTTCCACATATCTCAGCGAGTTTATCATTTCTATCCCTTTTTTTTTATACGTTAGGTGAATCTAACCGTAAAAAACCGAACCTAACCTAACCTACCTAACCGACCTAACCTAACCTAACCTACCTAACCTACCTAACCTACCTAACCTACCTAACCTACCTAACCTACCTAA